GGTCAAGTCTAGCCACAATGGTGAGTGGGTTCACTCGCGGCTGTGGTAAGGACATGTACCCTACAGGGGCATTGTAGGGACATTCATCCCTGAGACAGCGCGAATGAGGCCCACTCGCTACTATGGCTAGCAGTGGGGATTTTTTCAAAAAAGCCCATTTTTGCTAAATAATTAGCAAAATCGATCGTTTTGCTAATTATTTAGCAAAACCGACCTCTTTTTGACCAACTAGAGGTCGGTTTCGTAAAAGGTGTACTTCGAAACATACGGGACTAGTAGTCCTTTATGTTTAGTAGTCAATTAGCGGCCACTAAAGTGACCCCAGAAAACCCACGGGACTACTAGTCCCGTGGGTTTGCTGGTGCCCCTTACAAAACGCACGGGACTACTAGTCTCGTGCGTTAAGCGGAGACTACGCCAAATGTGGAGCTTCTCGACCAGCAAATCCACAGGACTAGTAGTCTCATGGATTTGCTAGGCACAACCCAAACGTGCACAAAACATGCACGAGGTTGTATCGCTTCATATACATTGTTTGGTGGACCTGTTTGGGCTAAAAAAAACATAACATTCACTTCATATAATTGTTATACAATATAATATTTATATACTTATAAATTTTAAGAAATAAACACCGGATAAAAACACATTTAATAAATCCACAACATCACAACACAATAACTACGTCATATACATATCCATACGACAAAATAGTCCAAACAAATCCAAATATATTAAGTCTATCAAGTCTATTCATACGACAAATTTAGTCTAAACAAAAAAAACTAATAAACTATGACATGCAACCTAAAAGTCCACCCCTCCCTCATTGTCTCCCTCTTCGTTCTCACTCTGATCGTCGGTGTCCTCCTTCGATTTGAGCTTGTACGTGCTCCCTCTCCGGTTGTGTGTGGGGCTGTGACAGACCAGCTTTATTGTCGTGAGAGCAAGATTCACCTCATCTTCGTCGGCTCACATATACCCTTTCCTCCTCATGCGCCATCCGCTCGTGCCCATCATGTTGATCCTCATAAGTTCGATGAAGAGCTTTACGAACCCTCCCCACTATCCGCTGCAATATCGATACATGTACTAAATCGCCTCTTTGCGGTAGCTATGCCTTCATTTGCAATCCCCTCTATCTCATCCATAACGTCTATCTGCATTCACGTAAAAAGATATAATTATATATATAAGCAACCAAAAGTTAATGGATTAAAAAAACTATTTAGATTTATGCATTTTACTTACCCATTCTTTTTCATCTACACCCCTTGGTACGTATCTTGCTTGTTAGGAACGTATCTTGATTTCATCAACTTGAGGCGTGGTTTCAGTGATTATCCATCTTCTGGTAATCCCCTAATACCATCTTATATAATTAATTTCCTCCATTGGAGGATAAATATGCTCGACAATGCTCAAATGGTGATCATTCCATCTAGCAATGTATTGATTATGCACAAGTGGCCAGTCATTCTAATTCTCGCCCTTGGACGCCTTTCTTTCTTATTATGGGATGTTCTTTATTACTTACAAATATGATATCCCGAGAATAGACCCAGTCGAGCCGACGTCACCCCCCAAAGACGACTCAAAAGGCGGACTCAGTCGGGCGAAAGATTGCTGCTCAGCAACCGACCGACACTTCCCCCGAATGCGACTAAGAACATTACTTCCTAGCATTATTTTACCATTTATGGTTATCATTACGACTCCACGTTACCCACAGACAAGCCTCAATGGCTGCTGATTCCCCACACCACAAAAGTGACTCCACATCACCCGCTGACAAGCCTTAACGGCTGCTGATTCCTGTAGGCGTCTAAAAATACCTATAGGTGTCCACACATAGCTCGAGACGGAGAGAAAACGACGAACATCGTTATCCGAGTCTAAGAGGATTATCCGACGCTGACAAGCGCCTGAAACGAAACTGCGAATCAAGTGGTCTGCGCGCTCAACAGTCAGCTCGCGCGCACCAATCAGCTCGCGTGCGTCAATCAACACGCGTGCGTCAATCAGTTCGTGCGCGTCGGTCAACACGCGTGCATCAATCAACACGCGCGTATAAGGCACGTTCGACAATCAATCCCACAACGAAGTGTGCAAGTTAACAAAACGGGCAAACACGCAAAACGGTGGAAAATACAAGTCCCGGAAAGACCAGAAAACACCAGAGCTCAGCAAAGATTCGAAACACCGCGTCCGTGCAGGTCGGACCGCATCGACCCGCGCCCGCGCGGGTCGGCCAAGTCCGACCCGCGGCGGCGCGGGTCGGAGGGGTTCCAAACTGACTTGATATCATCCCCAAACGTGGTTAGGCTGTTGTTAACTGAAGATAAGGCCAAATCACTCATTCTCATCCAAATAACCGCTTCCGAAGCCCTATAAATACAAGCCTAGGGCCTCCTTTCAGGGGGGAGTTATTATCAAGACGTGGAGGTGCTGCCGGATTGAGGAGTCAAGGGAGCACGAATTTTAGCGAAGACAAATCAGATCCCGGCGAACTTCGGCATAAAGAAGGAGCTATTCGAAGGATCTGAACCCCGTCCGTCCGTCCCTTGAGATTAGGCTTGGTCTTAATCTCGAGAAGAGCCCTGATTTCGCTTGGTCGATCTCAGCGCTTCAAATCAAATACTTCCTCGGCGAAGGCGAAGCTCTGCCGAATTTTTCATCAACCGGATCCAGATCTAAGGCGGTCCACGGATAAACCCCAGCACAGGCAAAGATCCCACGCAAGCAGAAGATCGATAAACGATCTCCCTGCGTTTGTTTGACGAAAGTTGTAATCTCTTATTTCTTTCATTGTGTAAGAGTCTTATAAAAAGACTATCTTTTTTTTTGTTTTCATTGTAACGACTGAAGTTGTAATGAATACCTCAATGAATATAACAATTTTCGACGCAAACAATTCCCCACACCACAGAAGTGACTCCACATCACCCGCTAACAAGCCTCAACGGCTGTTGATTCCCCATGTCGCTGAAGTGACCCACCATCACTCATCAATCAACATGAATAGGGCAGAGGATGACTCAGCCTCTAGCTCACCCCTTGCCATCATCATGAGCCGGCTCCTCACTGAATACCTATTCTACCCTTGGCATCCTCTATAAATACAGACGCTATTCATCCTGAAAGGGGGTTCGATCTCTCCCTCACTACCTAAAAAAATTCTCTAGTCACATATTAGAAGGAGATTCCTCTATTACTGGACCTAAGTCCACCAGCTGACTTGATCGTCGGAGATACCATGGGAGAAACAAGCCTCGTACTCCCGTGATTCTTGTGTGTGCAGGTGATCTGTCCACCCCGAGCTCTAAGAACCAGGCATAAAGTCGAAGAATGAAAGCGACCCTCCATCCCTCTCAACGATCCAATCTCTCGACGATCCAGCAACTCTGCAATCCACATCGACTGTTTGTTCACGAGCATCAACATTTCTATTATTTCTACTAATTGTGGAGTGTGCTATGCGAAACCAAACTGCCTAAGCACGCGATTCGACATGTGCATCTCCATAATTTCAAAGCAAATGAGAGGAACTTTAGCTCTCCATATACCATGTCACTCCACAAAAATTAGTGGTAGACGAGTTAGAAAAGTGCCGTATGGCTGCCACTCGAACTACAAAAAATAAATTATCATTAGTAACAAGCTTAAATTAACTTAAATTTAAAATTTCAATACCTAATAAATTTCATCTGGTCGAGCTCTCCTCTATAAAAAACTAAATTTCTTGTCGAGGCTTCATCATATGCTTTAGTGTCGTGACTGATCATAGAGGACTTCATCACTTACCGGCCCAGGAAGCATAGTGTATATACATGTACATATAATTGTTAACTTACTAGTTCATGTAGAATCAATAAGACTATAATAATGAATAAGCCTATAATGACAATAACAATAGA